ATGGCATAGTCACAATGGAACCTCATAATTATGTCCAATTTTTATGTTTTTATGTATCAGTAAAAAATAAATTTAGATGGCCTCTAGATTACTTATAACACCTAATACAATATAAATGCTATGTCAACAGCTATTATACTATATTTTTAGGGAGAAATAAGGAAAAAGGTATGTATGTGTTCAATATAAATACAATTTTTTTCAAATATTTTCAATCTGCAGTTGACCAAATCCATAAATATGGAAGGCCAATAGTATTGTATTAGTTTTAAATTTTCCATAAGAGAAAATTAAGAGAAAGAAAGCAGAATCATATTCTGAATTGAGGTAATCAATAAACTATTGTTCTGTAAGGCTGCTCAGTTAATTCAGTTAAGGGAGGTATTTGAAAACAAGGTGCCATTATTCGTCTCAAGATACTATCAAGACATGGTGGCACATGCCTGTAATCCCAGCGACTCCAGAGGTGAGGCAGAAGGATCTTGAGTTCAAAGCCAGCCTCAGCAATTTAGTAAGGCCTTAAGCAACTTTGTGAGATCCCATCTCAAAATAAAAAATGGGTTAGGGATGCGGCTCAATGGTTAAGCACCTGTGGGTTCAATCCCTGGTACTAAAAAGCAAGAAGAAAAATGATACTATCAAGATAATCTCATGAATGTTTATTATGAGATGTGTTTGAAGTCCCGAGTCAAACTTTTGCATATCTTGAATATGGTACATTTTGACATACATACTTCCTCCCAAAGTGTATATCCACAAACACACAAATAAAACTATAGGCAAAACTGATCTTAATGGGTAGTGAAGTTCAAACACCTTTTAGGCAATGTACACACACTTTAGATGTCACTGGTCTGCAGACTCCAGGCAGAGTTAGTCCTGGAGGAGAGGAACCTCCAAGAGATTCACAGATGTCCTTTCAATCTTGTAAAGGCTGCAAATCTCCACCTCTGAGTCCAGCGTGTTCGTTGGCAAACTGATGCATACTCAAAGTGTGTAGGACCAGGCCAAAAGATTGGTCCAATTCTGGTCTGGGAAGATGGCTTGATGGGAGCCAGTTTGAGTTCTGCCTGGAGCCCTCAATTGTTCCTTGGAGTCTAGAGATAGGAAGTAATTTTCCTGTCTGTTTTCATTGGACGTGGCTTATGGGGTAATTTTCTCTCCTTTCACTCAGGTGGAGTCTTTTCCTTTCTAGCTCAGAAGGAGCAGGGTCAAACAGCAATACAGAAAAGAGTCAGGTCACAGGCAATTAAAAATAGGGATGTGCATAAAGAGAGAGGAAGATGGAATCACACTGTTTGACTCCTTGCTCAGCATTGATGGGGATCGTGATGTGGGGTTTTGTTTTGTTTTTTAATTTTACACTCAGAAAGAAAAATTCAAGTCTGTATACTAACTGCATCTTTAGTGTCCCCTGAGTTTCTCTTGTGCCTTGGCTCCCCATCCCCCAAGTCCAGGCCAAACTTCTGAGAGTCCTCCTTTTGACAGGAGAAGGCAGAATCTGTGAACTCATTTACTGTGTTTTCCTTATTCATCTTCTTTAAAAATAAGGACATTATTGATGTGAAATTTAATGTAAAATGAACCTCTCTTGCTGGGCATGGTCGTGCACAACTATAATCCTAGCGGCTTGGGAAGCTGAGGCAAGAGAATCACGAGTTAAAAGCCAGCTTCAGCAACTTTTCGAGGCCCTAAGCAACTCGGCAATACCCTGTCTATAAATAAAATTTAAAAAGGGCTGAGGATGTGCTCAGTGGTTAAGTGCCCAGGGTTCAATCCCTGGTACCAAAAAAAAAAAAAAAAAAAAACTCACTTAAGTGAAGAATTCAGTGGCATTTAGTAATCATAAGTGTTGTGCAACCACCTCTTCTATCTAGTTCCAAAACATTTTCATCACCCCAAAAAGAAACCTGGAGCCCTCTCAGCAGTCACTGCCGGTTTCCCCTTTCACTCTCCCCCTAGCAACCTCCAGTCTGTCTTCTGTCTCTGCAGATTTCCCCTAAGCATTTCATGTGCTTTTTTTTTTTTCCCAAGACAATGTATTTAACTTTACAACAGATGGAAAACTCCCTGATTGGTTTCAGTTGTGACGCACAGATGGTTTTTAGATTGCCTTTTGGTGGACACCCATGCTGAGCAAGATTTTTCAATCTTCAAAACACTCAAGACTCAACAGAGGTTCTGCATTTCATATTGGTTTATAGTTCCAAGTGTCTTCCATTTTGGCACAGATTCCCTTTGAGGTACAGGGACACAGACAAAGCCATCTCTTTTAAAAATGAGTTTGTTCGCCTTAATTTCTTTATGTGACAAAAGCAGATGATGATAGCATAGTCTTTAATTCTTATTTAGTCAGTAGCAGTAGTGGTGCCAGAAATTAATAACATCCCTTGTGTGTGGCTTCTTTTACTTTGGCATCATGTTTTTTAGATTCATCACATTATAGTGTGTCCTTTTTATGACTTTCATCATCTTAGACTCACAGCATCCAACACAGTGCTAGAACAAATGAAATGATAATAAATGTTGAAGTGAAAATGTGCACTGAGAGAATTCCCATCCTTGAGAGACTAGGATAGTTTATACACAGGTAAGTTCTTCTTTTAGATCAAACAGGACTTTGTGAGTCCTTCAGGTCCTATAAGTAGAAGTATGAGACTCTCCTCTTAAAGAACAGTATTTAAAAGCATATAAAAAAGTTCAAGTCGGGCCAGGTATGGTGGTGCAAACCTGTAATTCCTGTAATTAAGTCTCGGGAGGCTGAAACAGGAGGTCTGGGTTCAAAGCCAGCCTCAGCAACTGTGAGACACTAAGCAACTCAGTGAGATCCTGTCTCATTGGGGATGTGGCTCAGTGGTTGAGAGTCCCTGAATGTTCAATCTCAAGTAACTCCCTCCAAAAAAAAAAAAAAAAAATACAAGCGGGATGTGGTGGCACACACCTATGATCCCAGAGACTCTGTGGGAGGATCGCAAGTTTGAGGCCAGCTTCAGCAACTTAATGAGACTCTGTCTCAAAATAAAATGTGCTCTGGGTGTCAGTAACTCAGTGGTAGAGTGTCCCTGGATTCAGTCCCCAGTACCTAATAATAATAATGATGATGATTATAATAATGATGCAAGCAACTCATGTGGGCTGAGGGTATAACTCAGTGGTAGAGCACTTGCCATATTAGAGGCCCTGGGATCCCCAGTATTGCAATAAAGTAAAATACAAGGTAAAGCAAAACAAAATAAAAACAACCCTACAAATGGGTAATGGTACCAATTGAAAAAAGGAAAGACCTTTAGTACTGTCCCCAAACATGCAGGTAGTCACATCACAGTTCTCTATTCTTGAAATTAGAATCAACATCTTCCCCATCACCAAAGGAGCCTGCTCAGGTCCCTCATCTTGCACTCCCCGAACACCCATTGTGTATCAGGAACTGTGTCCCTAAGAAATGAAGCTATAATGCTGTGTCTCTAAGAGACACCACCCCTCCCACTATGGAGCTTAGGTGCTGGGGAGGATGGGTCGCAGTCTGCCTTCCCAATCAGGTACTTAATTGAATTGCAGTAAGCACTCTGCTGCAGAAGAGTGCCCATGCCGGGTTAACCTGGGGAGCACATGGTTGGGGGAAAGTTTAAAGCAAGTGGCTCTGGAGTCAGTCATCTGAAGGAATCAACCAGACACAGAGGTAAGGAGAGTGGCCCAGGGAAAGAAGACCATCTTCACCTGCTGCAGAGGGCCTAAGGAGCTGGAGAAACTGAAGTCCACCTGGCTGGTGGGCAAGCAGGAGAACAAATGGACTCAAAGGGGCTAGGAGCTCAGTGGGGCCAGGTCTATGCAGTCATACCAGTCATGGTCACTCAACATCAGTCATGTCCCCAACAGCTGTCTGGAGGCATCCCAAGTAATCACACAAAACACTCGAAAAATCTATAGTGGAATGAATAGGGAACCAAGAGAAGTGTTTGTTTTCAGTTTCAGAACTTGTTTATTCACTTGGGACAGGATTTTGCAGGAAAAGTGGATGAAGCAATAATGGAGCAGGGGTACAGGGCTGGTAGGCGAAAAGTGTTCAAAGTTAATATTACCAATTTCAGAACCCCATGTTGGATACCTTGCAAAGCATCATCTTCTGAGATTTTTACTGGGAGAGGTGCAGAGAGTGACAGTTCAAGAGTAACATTGTCTGTTTTTCCCATGTTCTGGAGCCATAACATTACAACAAGAATGGGCAAAGAGTCACAGATTGTATTTAAGCTTAGATTTCAAAACCACCCATGACTATTTTGGCAGTATATATTATTTTTAAATTTTTTTTATTTCCTTCCTTCCTTCCTTCCTTCCTTCCTTCCTTCCTTCCTTCCTTCCTTTCTTTCTTTCTTTCTTTCTTTCTTTTCTTTGTTGTTGTTGTTTTCAAGCAATCCAAAAGCAGATGATTGTTTTTATTCAGCCTGGAGGGAATTTTAATCATTGAATCCTTCCTATATGGAAATACCATGCTGGGTAATGAATTGGGATTTCAGGGAGTAATTTTTTGTTTGTTTGTTTAAGAAACCAGCCACTAACAGTGGTGCATGCCTGTAATCCCTGCAGTTTGGGAGGCTGAAGCAGGACGATCACAAGTTTGAAGCCAGCCTCAGTAACTTAGTGAGACCCTAAGCAACTTATTAAGACCCTATCTCAAAAAATAAAATAAAAAGGGCTGGGGATGTTGCTCAGTGGTTAAGCACTCCTGGGTTTAATCCCCAGTACCAACAGTTTTTTTATTCATGTAGATGAGGAGAATGTTTTCTCTGGGCCTCAAGTATTTGCCAGCCCTGAAAGGCAGGGCATATAAGTCATCTGGACACAGCCTAGTGAGGAACAAAGAGTTTGAAACACAAAAGTGAATAAAACTATTGACTGTCCCTTGCCCTCCCCCCCCACCTCAGGGTGTGAACTTAGATGTTTCCACATGATTTTCTTTCTCTATTGGTCACAGCTTTTCCTCTTCTGCCCTCCTCCTCTAGGTTTTGAGGTTCCTGCAAACTATTTGGAAACTGACAGAGATTTCCAGCTAGAGATGGTGGTGATGAATAGCTTGAGGGTCATTCTTCAAGCCTCTCCATGCAAATCACCGTGGAGAAGTTTCCAGGTTCTGCGGTCCACGCCAGTGAGGCCCTGCAGTCTCTACACCTGCACTTATAAAAGCCGGAACCGAGCCTGTGAGTACATTTTCCTAAAGAGAACAAAATCGCTTGTTTGGTTTTTATAACGATCATTTGTGTTAAGCATTTGTAGATACGGCGTCATTGGCAGTCTGGTGTGATTATATGTTGTAATTTTGAGACAGGGTCTTGCCAGGTTGCTTAGGGCCTTGCTAAATTGCTGAGGCTGGAGTTGAACTTGTGATCCTCCTGCCTCAGCCTCCCAAGTTGCTGGGATTACAGGTATACTACTATGCTAACTTTTCTATTGATCCTCTAAAATAAATGTGGAAAGTTCTTTCTTGGTCAGGTTTAGTATACTAAAATGGTGCAGAAATTGGACAAATAAGACGTCCAGTTTCAAATATCTTGGAATCTGATTATCTTGGGAAGCTGAGGCAAGACGATAACAAGTTCAAGGCCAGCCTCAGCAACTTAATGAAACCCTAAAAAACTTTTTTTTTTTTTAATGGTACTGACAATTGAATTCAGGGGTGCTCTACCACAAGCTACATCCCTAACTCTTTATTTTTATTTCAAAACAGAGTCTTGCTAAGTTACTAGGCTGGCCTCCAATTTGTGATCTTTCTGCCTCTGCCTCCCAAGTCACTGGGCTTAAAGCTGTGGACCACCAGGCCTCAGAACCAGCTGTTTTTATTGTTTCTTGTTAGTAATGATCTTTTTACTAAGGGCAATCCACAGAGTACAAATTATTTCAGTAAATCTTAAGTTTCTGGAAGTTGCTTTAATTTTTGCAAGCAAGTCAGTGGCTTCACACTAAGGGATATTCTAACCGGAATTACAAATCCTGGAGTTAATTCTAGCTGACTAACTTGATAGTATGTATTCTGCTGTAAACACAGAAAATCAAGTGAGCCAGAAGGTGGTCTCTCAAACCTCTGATTCTTGCCCTGGGAATACAAATTAATGTCCACATCAGGATGTTGTAGGGATTCTCAACCATGACCTTGACATGGTAGGTGGGTCATTGTTGTTGGGAACTCTCCTGAGAATGGCAGGGTGTTGAGCAGCATCCCTGGCCTCTTACCCACTAGATGCCAGTACGACTCCCACCCAGTTATAAGAACCACAAATTTCTGCAGGGAACTGAGGATGTAGCTCAGTGATAGAGCGCTTGCCAAGTATGTTTGAGGCCCTGAGTTCAATCCCTGCCACCAGAAAAAAAAAGTCAGCAGACATTGTCAAACAAGCTCTTGGGGACAAAATTGCCCCCACCATTAAGAACAGTCAAGGTGCTGGGAGAGGATGTGGGTATTTGTGGAAAGATGAGTTTGAGTTTATGGAGAGATGAAGTGGCTAAGCATAGCATTCAAGAGAAATTTTTCATGTTTTCCATTATTAAAAGAAATTGACACAAAATTTTCAAATGTGGGCTTGCATCCAGGTTGGTCTGGATTTCTGTTTGTTGTTGTTGTTGATCCTCTTTGACCCCAAATATATACAATACAAAGAATGGGTAAAAATTGAATGCTTATAAATTAGTAATGCTAATCTAGCTAAATTCAAAGGCTTGAAACTGTTTCATAAATATAATTTTATTGTATGTTTATTTTCTTTCCTTCCTCATTGACTGTATTCTCATTAAATTAAACTGGCCTGAGTCATAATAAATTTCTGGTTGTTAGGTGTGGCTTCCTACCAGCATGCCCACATCCTACTCAGACTGGCGCTCTATGACCTAAGGCTTAAAATGGAAAAAATTAGTCATATTTAGTGAGTTACCAAAGATTTCCTTTTTTTTTTTTTTTTTTTTTTACAGAAAGATGAAAGTTAAACATCTAAAGTTCTGCATGCTTTTGTCTTTAGGACAGTTGAGGTACTTCTTTTATTTCTGACAAAAAAAAAACTGCAGTGGTTTGGGGAGGTGGGGTTTCACTAGATTAATTTACCACATCATATGACACATTCTTGTTTCCAAGTTGGTAGGACAAATGACATGGTCACCATTTATTTGGCTTTTGGTATACTGCACTGTCCTGACTTGCTTTCACTCAGGAGAACATTATCGTCTTTGCTTTCTCACTGACCATTTCCTCTTCTGTTATCCTGACCCCTCGCCTACTTACCTGTGTAGACAGCACTCGTTGTTTTTGGAAGGCCGAGAATACACTGGACCAAGAACCACCTAAGATTGTTAAGGGTTAGAAACTCAGTGTTAGGACTTGCTTAGTATGGGTGAGGCCCTGATTTCAATTTCTAGCACCAAACAACAACAACAAAAACTACCACCCCCTCCCCCCCCAAAAAAAACCCTTTAGTATTACTAAATTCTACAAGTACTACTACTATGGTTACTAATTCGACTAGTACTGCAATTGTTATCATTAACTGTATTATCATTATCTTTATTTTCATCATAGGCTCAGTGCCTGCCTCAGGTGTTTAAATCTGACCATTTTAAGATGAAATGAAGCAGAGTAAGGAATAAATCAAGTGGGAGGTTGTGAAAAATTCAGAAAACAACATTGTAGGTCAGCCTTGAGATCTGTGCCTTTACCTTAGCTCCCTGCCCTCCTACCAAGTAATCACTGGCTGTCAACTCAAATTGCTGTTTGCTGTTATCTCAAGAAGCAGGCAGCCTTGTTGGGGACTTACGGACTGTACACCAGTTACCCATGATGGAAATCAAATCAGTTTCACCTAGGGTATCATCTAATGACATTTAGCCTAATCATTACATTAAAAAATTTAGGCACAAGATCTTGGACCATAGAAAAATGAATTTGATAATTTAGTACATCTTAATAATTATATATATCAAGAATACAGTCTAGGATGGAAATGGTATATATTTGTTATTATTACAATGATTTTTTTTTTTTTTTTTTTTTTGCCGGAGGACTGGGGATTAAACCCAGGGCATTTACCACTGAGCTACATCCCTAGCTATATCCCCAGCCTCCCCCACCTTTTCTTTTTTTTTTTTTGGTACCGGGAATTAAACTCAGGGGCACTCGACCACTGAGCCACATCCCTAGCCCTATTTTGTATTTTATTTAGAGACAGGGTCTCACTGAGTTATTTAGCACCTCACTTTTGCTGAGGCTGGCTTTGAATTCGCGATCCTCATGCCTCAGCCTCCTGAGCCTCTGGCATTACAAGTGTGCACCACTGACCCCGGCTTATTTTTAATTCTAAGACAGGGTCTTGCTAATTTGCTGAGGCTGACCTTGAACTTGCCATCCCACTGCCTCAGTCTCCTGAGTTGATAGAATCGTGGGAATGTACCACTGTGCCTGGCTTCCAGTGATTCTTTTTTTTTTAAATATTTATTTTTTAGTTGTAGTTGAACAAAATACCTTATTTTTATGTGGTGCTGAGGATCAAACCCAGAGTCTTGCACTCTATCGCTGAGCCACAACCCCAGCGCCCCCAGTGATTCTTAATGTTCAAGGTCTCCCTACTTTTAGAATGATGACAAACATTTTAGGATAACTTGAACTAGAACTGCAGTGTACAAAATGTAGCCAATAGCCCCATGTGAATATTTATATGTAAATTTAATTTCATTCATATATTATAGCCACATACACTTTGTTTCCACCACACTGGATATTCCCATCATCAAAGTTCTGACAGCACTGATCTATATTATAACTGAACAGTTACAATGTTGTTCTATTATTTCTCTATTTAATTTTGAAAAATACAAATAAAGCCTGGAAAACAATATTAAAAAGCCTGTCAGTGTTTTCTCAAGGAACTCTGATAATCCCTAGATAACTTACATCCAGGATGTCCCAGACTGTTGTATTAATATTCAAATACCTTGAGAAACAATGGGCCCATTAAGATCACCTTAAAATTGCATAGTGGCCTCAGAGTTACCTTAGGCTCTCTAAGACCAACAAATAACCCTGGAACTGACCACAGGAAGTTTGGGCTTTATTTTCCTGTGCTGGTCATGACATGGGTATCTTGTGGTTAATGGACTCAGCATCAAAGTGCCTTTTGCAGCCACATGCTGCAACATGGCAATTTATGATTCTCTCATTGTCCTCAACAAAATCATGTGCAGGATCCCTGCCTGCAACTGCACTAAGGCCAAAGATGGTCTTCAATTACATGAGAAAACAGCACACTCCAAGGGGGAAGAAAAGAGTCCAGTGGCAAGGCACAGGCTAAAAAGCCACTGAGGGTATAGAACGATGCTGTCCAGTAAATAAATAATGTAAGCCACAAATATGACCCATATAGGTAATTCTATATTTTCTAATAATCACATTACTAAGGTGGATACACAGATAAGATTAATTTTACTGTTGAATTTTATTTAACCCAATAAATCCAAAATATTATCATTTTAACATGAAGTGATGATAAGAATTATAAATGAATTTTTAAGTCTTTATTTTATGCTATGTTTTCAAAGTCCCTAGTGTCATTCATTATAGCACATCTCAATTTAGACACATGGCAAGTGGCCACCATATTGATAAACTCAGGTATAGAAAGTGGGGAAGTCCTAAATTTTGATGTTCTAAATTTAATTACAGAGGGCCTGGGGGTGGAAGGGAAAAGAGATAGAGAAGGTCAAATGCTTCTCTTGTGGGCTGTCTTCCTATCCCAAAGCTTCCCCTATCACAGGAGAGTGGAGAGCTGAAGTTCTAAACCTCGATTCTTGTGTCTTGATGAAAGAAAATTTAAAGTCAGACATGAAAAGCCAAGTAAGATAATTTTTTTTTTTTTTTGGTATTGGGTATTGAACTCAGGGGCACTCAACCACTGAGCCACATCCCCAGCCCTATTTTGTATTTTATTACAGACAGGATCTCAATGAGTTGCTTAGGGCCTCCCTGTTGCTGAGGCTGGCTTTGAACCCGAGATCCTCTGCCTCAGCCTCCCCAGCTGCTGGGATTCCAGGTGTGTGGCACTGCACCTGGCTAAGACAGTTTTATTAAGTGAAAGTAAAGTAAGGCTAAAGGAGAGAGAGAGAGAGAGAGAGAGAGAGAGAGAGAGAGAGAGAGAGAGAGAGAGAGAGAGACCTTCTGAAACAC